AAAGCTGCTTCCTGGAAAAAGTTCGGTGAGGTACTGGAGTCGAATTTCCACACGGCAACAAGGTATTCTGGCAGAGCATCCCCTGGGTCTGAGGTGAAAACAAGGGCAGTCTAAGAGCCTTGAGGGAAAGGTCTGGACACCCTCTTACCAAAGATGCTGACATTCTTCGGCGATGGAGAGAGTAGTTTGAGGAACTACTTAACCTCGAGCAACCGCAGGAAGACTCGGTATAGAGCAGCAGGGAACGGATGTTACTCTCTCTGTAGATGAATTTATACAAGATGTGAAATGCTTGAAAAATGGAAAGGCTACTGAAACTGATGAAATCCGCCCTGAAGTGCTCAAGGCATTAGGTGAACAAGGCATACGCGTGTCTGTCAAACTGCGATGACTACGGAGAAGACACAAAGGGATTAGAGAACGGGAGTTGTTGCACCCTCATTCAAGAAGGGAGACCACAAGGAGTGCTTTAATTATAGGGTCAGTACGTTACTGAGCGTATCAGGTAAAGTTTAAGCAAAGGTGCTAAAAAGGAGGTGCCGCGGAATAACTGATTCCAAGAAACAAGAAGAGCAGAGTGGATTCTGGCCCGGTCGGAAGTCCCTCTGACCATATATTTGTCCTGCGCGAGATTGTTGAGATATCGTGGATGTATGCCCGTCCGGTGTACATGTTGTGTTGACCTAGAAAAAGCCTTTAACCGAACCCCACGCAACATTCTGTGGTCATATCTTCGAGCATACGGGATAGATGGCCAGCTGTTAAGAACCATCCAATCACTGTATTCTGATGGTAGGTGCTGCGTCAGAGTAAATGGCGTTAAGTCGAAAGCATTCAATGTTAGCACTGATTTCCGCCCTACGTTCTGTCGAATATCCTGTTTGTGTTATAAATGGACAGAATAATCACGAAATGCCAAGGCGATGAGTCATCGGTGTAGGAGATGTGGAGACGAAATGGTTGCTGCTTGCAGACGACCTTTATTTATTGGCATCTTCTGAGACTGATCTACAGTGCTCCCTAGAAAGG